GACGAACGAACGTAGGTAGTACGTCGTACGAACTAACTACTAACTACTACGTCGTGTTCGTTCGTCGTACTGTCGTACGACGTAGTGTGTATAGTAGTGTGTGTGTGTGTGTGTGTGTGTGTGTGTGTGTGTGTGTGTGTGTGTGTGTGTGTGTGTGTGTGTGTGTGTGTATATATATATACACACACACACACATATATAGAATAGATCGTGTGTTAAGCTTCAAAACTCGTATTCAAATAAATCACCCACTTATCAAACAACAAAAAGGACACCACTGGAATACAAAACAAGCATATATTAGTGGAAGTTAGAGAACTCCTCCTCTTACATATATTTTCCTATAAATCTTTAAACAAATCGAGTAACATTCAAGGAGAAAACATGTATTATGAAAGGCAAATAAATAAATTAACCAATCCAATATTCTTAAAAATCATAAGAAAAACATCAGAGAATTATTTAGATTGGATTGGTATCAGTGACTGATATGGAGGTTGGTCAAAGGTTTAGTTGAATGACAGAATATTAATTGTTTAACTGAAACAAATATTATGGAATTTAAGACAAAGTTCCAACTGATACTTCAAAAAATATCAAACAGTACTGATAACATGGAACTCTCTATGGCCTTAAAAGAGAGAAACAGACCATACAAATAATTAATCTAGAAATTGTCCCTTCAGCTTCCAAATCACAAATACAAGTCTGCAGTCAATATCAACTAAGTTTTCGGAACAACTTCACGCCTAGCAACAGACAACAATCATTGTATTGCCTCGTATGGGAAACTTGGTCTTAGTGTAGGCCCAACTTGTAGCATAAAATATCTATATAGGATTTTACATTTTTATGTGCTCTCACAAACTGTTTGTATTCAGTGTTCAACATGTATTCATTATTATTTCAGAAATGATTGGCCATTCTTATTGTAAAATTGTATGGAACAATCCAAAAAAAAATCTGTTTCTTATCACTGTTTGTGGAAAGTTCTAGATATTTCTAAGCAGCATAAAGTACATATAGAGAAAAAGAAATTTCTAAAATTTCTGTTCCATTGTATACTGTGTGGAAATTTCATTGTTTACTAGTAGAAACATCTTTACATTTCTGAGGTAGGCTTATTGCATATATTAATGCAACAACGTATGCAGTAGATCATCAGCCAGGCAGTGAAGTTAGGTCGGTAGTGATAGTGAAGTCGAGTAGTATTCAGTTTAGCTATGTGTTTAGTAATACAGTGATAAACAGACAGTTGGACAATTGTGGTGTTTCTCACAGTGAAATAAGCATGTGTTATATTTAGAGGTGGCATTCTTTCTGATCAATCTAAAAAATCTCTGTGAAATACTGCAACGAATATGTTAAAAGGGCCTTACTGCATTCATATAGTTTTATCTTTTTTTTTCAGATAAAGTAATCTTATATTCAAAGTAACATCAAGCACCTCCAGTGAGATAAAAAAAAAAGTTGCTTGTGGCATTATTTTGATGTTCTTTCTATCAAATACCAACAGTTCTAGAACATTCTTCTGTTATCGATGAAACTTGCCATAAATACCCAAACACACCACCAAGCTATGCGTGTCTTTAGTTTAGAGGGAGATGTCAATGAAGTAAGCAGAAACAGGCTCATCTGGAATATAATGATCAGCTTTTGTACCTCCACGCTTTGCTTCAACTGTCAAATATAAATTCTTTCAGCTTCAGTGAAAGCAGTTAACTGCATTATCTTGAAAAACAAAATAAAAAATCCAGTTGCATTTTCTCAAGAACAGTTTTCTGTTTGTCTCCTTGCACTAAAATCAACTTTTTGAGTTTTAAAAGAAGTACTGTTGGTTCAGCAAAAAAATATTTTTAATAACTTTTCCACTCATCCACTGAACTCATAAATCATGAGGGTTTGTTGAAAAGTTATCAGCTCAATATTGGCCAATATTTTCTAAATACCAGCCTATAATGATAGATCCCTAACTGAATGACTGATATTTACACTACTTACCTCACACTTATATTTTGCACAAGTGTACTGTCTTGCTCTTTTTCAATAACTTGAGTACAATTTAAAAGAAACCATTTTATGATTTGTCACTTTACATTCTTCAAAGACGAAACTGTTTTGCTTACACTATGTTAGCCTGTGTAGTGTATTACATACACAAGGTACTATATTCTTTCTGTAATACCAGCATCCACCATTTAATGCAGTTAGTCTGTTCCTTAACGCCGCCAAATCAATTTCTCATACGATTATGCATAATAAGGGGAGGATGCATCTTTTGACCAAACAATTCTGTACTTAGAAACTGTTAAACACGTTTTATACTATCAATTAGATACTCAAACATTAAAGTATATAAAACAATAAATAAACCTGAAAATAAGAACATACCGATATACACATCATAGACTAATGCAGCCTATACAATGATTCATGCATTGTTTATGTTTCAAACTTTACACTAACTGCTCTATTTCACAGCACCTCTCCTTTTTGAGCAACGATATCATATGCTATGATCACATCACATTAGATAAAAATTTTTAAATAAAGTTGAATTTTTGGATTTGCACTATGACACACCAGTGTAGGCTTCAATCTAAAATCTCCCTAAGCATTGGCCCCCAAGAAGAAGGGTTATTCAATCTTTTATTGCCTTAAACCCATGTGCATGAAATAAATAACTAAAAGTTCTGTCAGGCATTTTTTTTCGAGTTTCATCAGCAACGAAGACCTGACATAGTAAATATTCTCCTTCTTCAGTAATAGTCTTCAAAGATAAATTGAGCATAAGGTGCATTTTGCACACTGAATCAAAAATTACTATCATGACTGACCACGTTAATAAAAATGTTCTTTAATAAACAAAGACAGCTTTAAAATGAAAATGTACTAATAGAAAGCACACTAAACAAAAGATGCCAGCATTACTTTCATTGATGCCACTGGTTATAATGTAAAATATATATCCATTTTTATTATGTTTAATCTTGTATTATTATATTTATATTATAAAGGTTATTTTCCATTGCAAGCTTAGCATATGGATTTAGAAATAACCTATACCTCTGGCCAGATCTTGTGAGATATCGGAATTATGGTGAAAAACACTGTTAACAAGAAGTGTACAAAACTGCTTAGCTACAATCAGTACCAGGTTGATTTTTACTTATGATCTAAATTGGTAGCTTGCTTTGATCAGGTGTTAATATTAATAATTTATGTTTCCCACTCTCAAGCTATATATATTCATAACTCCTATACTTTAAAAGTTTTAATCTTTTAACTAAGACATTTAAAACATATTTCCCCTAATTTTAATAAATGTTTCAATTATAACTGATACTATTAGAAATTTTTAACTTGAATTTTTTACATGCTTAAGTTCTTTAAATTTTATCTACATTTTCAGATACTATTACTAACTTATTCAATGGCAACCATTATTTCAAACTTTATTCAAATTCTTTTTTATTTTGCATTTATTTTGTGAATACTTGGAGGAACCTCAAACTGGCAGAATGAACTTCTGTAACCTTGTTCTTTACCATCCATAGTAAACTGGCGATATGCAAGTGTGGACATTTACGGAATTAGAATATATTCTGAACATCTGATGTAATACCAAATCTCAGATAATTTTTAAAAATTTGCAAGTTCAGTTAATCAAAGCACCATAAATTTATTTCAACACTGATACATATAAAAACAGTCTCTAGTTAACCAAATTTTTCACCTTAGCTATTAAAAACTTTCACAATATAGTGATACTGCTCACATAGATTTGAATTTGGCTAAATCTAATTCTATATTATTTCATAAATATAGAGAAGATAGTACTGGTAAGAAATATTCTTGTTATCAAATAAAGGTTTTAGTATAAAATTGCAAGACTAAAATACAAAAAAAAAAAACTTAAAACTTGTCCATAGGCATTTTTGTTATATCTTTTTTTGGACTGCAAAGATACAAAGTTCAAGATAAAACTTTCCAGAACACCAGACTACTTGACATACCTTGACCTTGAGTACGAGTGACGGCGTCTGGATTGTGACTGAGATCTCGAACGTGAATGTGGAGTACGGCTGCGTGATCTTGATCTTCTCCGTTCTCTTCGACTTGGAGATTGACGAGGAGATGGGCTTTTCACTTCCAGATGTTGGGAGCCATTCTCTTGGTGATCATTACTTCCCTGTACATGTCCACAAATTATTAGGTTGAGCTTCAAAATTGTTCACACAAGTTCCTTCAAATAGTGATTTTAATTAGGCTAAATATAAACTTCTCCCATTTTGTGTATCACTTCTAAGTAACTTTAAAAAGTAAAAAATAAACAAAGATGATAAAAATAATAATAAACACTATGCTAAAAACTTCAGTTAATAAGTGTTTGAATCATTTTTTTAATAATTATTTTTGGTAAATCTCAAAAATTGTAAGCTTTTTGACAGGAGGTACTATAAGTTCACAATAAATATATCTTGAGCTTTATTTGAAACAACAAACAAAACTACCTACTACTGGTAACCACTGAGATAAGAAAATTGAATGCAATAATATTATTCTTTCAGGATCTAGATGAAAAGCAGCTACATTACACTTTATTGTACAATACCAAACATACCTATCATGAGAAAGCCACTACATTCATTATTATATGCTAGGCCTTAAAATATCCTCTATGGGCTGGCTGAGATATAATGTACATTGAAGATGCTACTCATGCTACAAATAAATCAACATTACTCTTTCAAATACTAATAATGTATTTCAATAAAAACAGATCTATTTCATTTGCTTAAGCCACTAACTGCCACTAAGCAAGAGCTTAACTATTCACCTTGTAAATAAACTCTTGTAAAGCTAATTCTTTCCATATAGTTTGGATTAAGAAAAAAGTGATAAGTTTAAATAATAGCTTGTTTACATGTTTAACAACAATGGGAGTGATGTTTGTTTTTTGCTGAATTTCAGGGTTATATGAACCAGCTGACCCTAATTTAGAAGTAACAGACTAGAGAAAAACAGCTAATCAACACCACCCATTATCAACTATTTGGCTATTCTTTACCAATGAAAAGTTGGATTGACTATCAAATTATATTGCACCCACATCTGAAAGGGCAAGCATGTTTGGTGATGTGATTCAAACCCACAACCCACAGGTTGCAAGTTGAGCACCCTAACTATCAGGCCATGCTATTAAAGGCCCAACATGAGTGAGATGGTCCACTCTGCACATATATAAAAGTAATAAATTATGACACACGCCATATAGCAGCTAGTTTGGTAGCACTTGCCAATTCATCTGTTTAACCTCTCAGAACATTTGGGAATTTATAGATTACAATAATGAATATTTTTCTTTTTGATACGAGATTATATTGATGATAGAATAATCTAATATTGCTTGAAATAGTGGTCAAATTTAAAGGTAGCTGTTTTAAACAATGAAGGAGTCATAATATAAATCCCCATGTTGTGACAATTCAACGTTACAGAGGAAGAGACGTTATACCCACGTACTTAAAATTGTTTGTAGTAAACACACGAAGAAACACATTAACTATTACTCAATATTAGATTGAATATTTTTACTGAATTTTATAAAACAGTCATACATATCAGAATGTTCGTCAATCACAAAATATACATTTGTTTATAATCTATAGAACCAAGGGATTTCATGGACACATTGATAATGCACAATATAACATAAAACAAAGCTTATAACTACCGCCTATAGTACAATTTACATATGCTTTAACTTTCAAGGTCCTAGAAATACATTTCTCTTCAGAAGAGCTTTTAGAATTAGAAAAATTTGATTATTCATAGTATCATCCAACCAGACCTTCATGTACAGTGGCATGTTGTTCATATAAATAGCCAGCATATCCAATGACTCTATACTGTAGCATGCTAAAGCAGTAAATTAGTGATACTAGGTCTATTGAGCAGTCATTACTCAAAATTTGTTTATATGATGATCACTCTTAATGGTATTAACTTTTTATCCTTAAATTTTCACAAAATTAGTAGCAGTTGTGCACAGAGGTATGGTGTGTGAAATATTAACTAAAATAATATGGAACTATAAACTAAAGAATAACAGTAGAAACTGTACAACAATGCAGAATTCACAGAGGGTTCACACATTTACTGAGTTTATTAACATATCTAAATATTCCACACATCTCCAAGTTTGGAGAATAACAACGGGAAACTATATTTAAAGCTTATAACTATAGAAGATAAATACAGAAAAACCATTTCTAAGGGTTTAGCAAAAAAAATGGATAAAGCTGGCAGGAAAGTGATAAAAGTAAATGTTCTCTAAAATCAATATTAATATCAAGATCATGTACTACTATGTGACGAGATACCTACAAAAACACTCGTACCTTGATAACTGTAACTTTAATGCAATTTCCTTGCCTTTTCATGCACCTTTAAATATGCTCTTATTACTACAGCTTCTTTTAATTAATTCAAAAATAGTGGTTTGGGATTTCTTTAAATGCACAAAAAATGGTAATGTATAATACACTGCATGTATAACAGATACCCAGTTGCAATGGCACTAACTGGAACCAAGGAAAATGAAGAAACCTTCTTTCATGCAAGTGATAGATACTTCAAATATTAAGTTCTGTAAGCCTCAGGTAACACTACTGGCTCATGACTGCAGTGCTAGCATTAGGTCAAAATCAGGCAAATATGAGGAAAGCTTGTCTAAAACAATCATGCAAAACATCCTTTAATTGATAAACCTAAATAGTCTTGAAGTTTGTAGTGTACAACGTTACAACCATTCCAAGTAAACAAGTGGGACAGGACCTGACATTATATCACGATGTTGATATGAAATTATTTTCCCCATAATCTCTCTAAATTGCCCCAATATTCATTTGGTTATATGGCCACTCAAAGATTAAAACATGGCCCATTAACCAGTTGAATATGTGGCTAAAGATTATTTTCCCCATAATCTCTCTAAATTGCCCCAATATTCATTTGGTTATATGGCCACTCAAAGATTAAAACATTGTCCCATTAACCAGTTGAATATGTTTAAATATTGTCAAATACAGTCAAATATTACTTAAATAACTTCTGCAATCAAAGCATTAACTTTTTGTTTCACCTAAACATTGTAAAGTTTCTAAAGATGATTTACTACTAAGCTATAAATAAATCTCAATTTATTATTTAGATATGAAACATACGTTTTGTTTTTACTTACATACAATCATAGCTTTTATTTGTGAGAAAAGGTAGCCTAGATGAGACAACCGACTACCGTATTTTTTGGAATATAAGATGCACTGGTGTATAAGACGCACCCTTATTTTGAAGACAAAGTTTTGGGGGAAAAAAAGCTACAGTCGCACTTGAAAGATTTTTATTGAATAAAAATTCAATTTGATACTTTAAAAATTAGTATATATTGTTCAAAACACAAAAGAGCTCAAAACATCAAAATAAGAAAATACCGTAAATCAAAAAAAGGTTTACTGTTATTAAGTTTGGTTCAAAAACCCACAAGATCTTCATTGCTTTCACTGTAATTTATTTTTATTATTATTATTTAGGGAGCATTAAAAATAGTTATGTTTTTAAAAGAAAAAACTACTATTGTTATAAATAACACATTCAATTGGACTATACTATGCATGCCTATTTAAATATATTTACACATGGCTTGTGTATATTGTATATATATACATATATATTATTCATACCTTCAGTGTATAGGATGCAAGCAGATTTTGACATGAAATTTTGCGGTAAAAAGTGCATCTTATACACTGAAAAATATGGTACATATTATGACTCGTTGCTCTTTTTTATGTTCTAACATGTAGGTATATTAAATGTGTTATGCAAAGTGATGTCATTCAATGGACACATATACTGTAGAACTAAGTGACTAGCTCAATACAATCAAACATCTATGAGCATTGACCATACCAACTAGTGTCAAAAAATAATCATGTAACTGATTAATGGCATAAAAATAATAAACCAATAAAAATTAGTGTTTCCAATTATTCAAGTAATGAAAATACTGTCATTATGATTATATATTATTTTAAATTATTTCAGCTTTCTTCAGTTTAACTGATTAATGTAATTACTCACAAAAATATTCAACTAATCAAAAATAGTTTTTCTGATTATTACCGATTTTGTTTCTTTCAACTATCCAATATACAAGCTGAGCTTAATTAGTGTCACAACTCCCATAAGAACAAACTAAGGCCAGGCTTAAAATATTTCTGTATGCCCGACCAACTGTCTGAAATTTGGGGCCAACTTATTTTTTTGATATTATGACCTGGGATACTTTTATTTTCATCAATTTCTGCCAATATACTAACCCATCTAACAACATTTGCCAACCTTAAGATTTTTTTATTACCGTATTATGGTTAGAATAATGTTTCTCAGAAATTCACGTAGTCTACAACAATGTGGGAGGGCATAACCTGATTACCAAACGACAGCTCTATGCTGATTGGCCAATGCATTGAGGTTTGACAACATGGCTTATCTCGTCTCCAGGACCCTTTGCTAAACCAATAATACACGACCTAGCAGGGGAGAATTTACTATTGCCAAGTTTACATCAAGAACACGCCAAACCCACGACCGTTCAGTGTATCCGTCTCTAAAATATATTCTCGCAGATTGAGGATTATGATCAAAAACAAATTATTTCCAATTGGAGGGAAGTACTTGTAGTTCATCTTGGAAAACAAGATGACACAGAAGAAAAAAAAACATAAAATTGTCGGTAACATTCAATTCAACTTCACATATCGATGTCGATAACGACCAGCAAATATATGTTGCAAAATAATTTTACATTTCTGTAAATCTGTTAGAATAAATGTTGATAGTAACCCAGGTTAAGTAGTTAGCACACAGGATCACCTACAAAAATTTTAATATTTTCAAAACGAGACCCAAAACTCAAGCGCTTTCGATTAATTGACTTTCTTTTTCAGGAGAATAGTCAAGTATTCGAAAGTGACCAAGTTCTGTGTCTCATCTTGAAAATATTACAAATGTTGATAGTAATTGTATTCATGATTTAATATGTTATGTTTCAGGTTATAATGGAACCATGTCATTGTTATGTACCTTTATTAATAATATTACTTAACAATATGAAAAACATCTTGAAGCTTGGCTTTAAAATATTTTTGTTTGCTGTAACTCTAAACTGATTTAAAATGTGGGTAGGTAGATAGGTAACTTTTAATTTTTTTTTTAAATTGGTTGGCAAAAATATTAGGAAATACCACTAGAATGCCTTTATTCAAAAATGTAAACAAAGTAATACAAGAAAATTTTAAAACAATGCTAATAATCTTTAAAAGACTTCTTACAAAAGTGTTCCACACCATTTACAGGATCCTCCTCCTTTTCTTCAGAAAAGTTTAGTTTTTGAAAGCCATATTTTTAAACCCTAGGACATAACTCTTGTTAACTCTGCAACTGACCAACCATAAATTTGAAAAATAGTCTGACTTGCGTAATGCATGTACTTATAGTTTGAATTTTTTTAAACTTTGTTAGATAGGTATATGAAGATGTAAGTAAAATAATTTTTTTTTTCAGCTAAGGGATGATGTGAATGGTCTTTGTCACCATATCTTTTTTTTCTTATAAATTATGTTATGACCACTGATACTCAAATCCTCTTTCATAAATCAAACTGTATCTTCCTCAGTATTAAGAACAAAGGTTATAAAATAGTATTTTACTAGTAGAATCTTTTACATGCTTAATACAAAAACAGTCCCCCACAAGTTTCATAAAAATTCATCCTCAGGAAAAGAAGTGATTATTCCCATCAATTTCTCCAAACTTAAATAATATAACTCTGTTTACTGGTAGAATAACTAATCTGAATGTTTATACACCTGTATAAACAACCTGATCAGATGGCCAACAAAAATTGCCAATGAAATTTTTTTTTCTTTTTAAGAATTTCAACTTTTTATGCCCATAAAATTTATTCAAACCTCAGTGTTGTTACTTCTCTCAAATTCTCACTTCACTTCTTACAAAGAAAATTACCCTCACACTTTTCTTACTTTAATATTTGTAAAATCTTATAAAATGAGATTTGTATAATATACATTAACTGAGAGTGCGACAGTATCAATATCTTTCAAGCCAATTGACACTTAAAATTAAATTCTAACAACTTGCTGTTATCACAAAACTTCTTTTGTCATTATAAAAGAAATTTAATTATTTAGTTCTCTATTGGAAAACAATCTTATCGTTTTACATCACATCTTTTAAAATCCATGAAATTATCCTCTCCCCCATTTAAAGAATTTTTATCACCTCTATCTAAACTTAGTTTATAAAATCTCTAAGTGCTTCCTCTTCCAATGCCTTTGTAAACTTTGAACGGCTGTCAGTGTCACTGTTTTCTTACGATTCTTAGCCTTACAGAACCTGTAACACTAGCAAGAAATGTCACAGACCCACAAGCAATTTGGTGAATAAGTTGGCAAGCGACTTATAAACATAATGAAGTGACTTTTTTTTTGGGGGGGGGGGGACATAGTAATATTACATGTTTTAGCAGAATATATTCCCCATAAATAAATCTCTTCATTATGTTTATAATTTATAACAAAAATCGTTGTTTGCCAACTTATTATTATATTAGCATAATATGCTTCCGTACTAAAGCAAGCTTCAGGAATAAATATTTAAAAACAGTATTTACAAAAACCGATGTGATAGGGTGCACTAACCACATTAATAAATAGTTCTAATTGCTACTTAATTTTAGGGTTAACAGCACTAGTGTCACACATATTCACATTGCAGCAGAACTTTACCAGTTAGGCCTAATTTGCAATTACAGTTTAAGTGGGCAAAAACCTAGCCTAGGCTGCAGTGACACTAGCATCACGGTACAACTCTAAGCCTAGTTATTGTATTAAGTCACAGTGGAAGTTACAAACACAGAGTATGTTATAATTATATACATATATAATTATGGAATACGCTATTGGTGTGATGTACATACTCCTAGATTATATATTACGGTGGCCCACTGGGAGAAAAATAAATAAATGAATACTTACTTCTCGATCACTGTCGTCACGGCTCATTTCTTAATTCTTTAAGTTTTAACTTATGAGTTAACTTCTATTTTTAATAATGTTAGTTCACCGACACTGATTGTTAGTACGATTGCAAGTCTGTTAATATTATATACTTTAACTGGTATAAGTACTCAAAATATCGGATTAACGACTAATTATTTTTAACCTTGTGGTAAGACACCAATTTTACATGGATTCAGTTTATCCTTCCACAACGGACAAGTCAAACTACTAGTACTAGTTAGGCCTACTCCTATACGAGCAAACACAATGCCTCAACTCCTAGAACCCACTCTAAATTCAGCGGCTGATATTACTTTACAGTTACATGTTCTTTATTAGGTAACCTTAAAACACACGAAAGAAGGCAATATTTTAAGAAAATCAAAAGTTTCAAGACGATTATTTGTTATTCGTACAATTTAATTACTTAATATTCAAATATTTTCATTGTATGTCGGTATTTTCCCCATATTTTAGAATAATATACTACAGATACTGACATATTGGTAATTATGGAATATTATTATTAATATATAATAACAATCGAAACAATAGACGAATTTCACTTCAAAACAATTGCACTTTTATAACGTTCCAGAAACAGGAACGTTAATAATTAGTGGCTAAATGTTATCACTGTTTGATTTATTTAGAGTTATATGAAATATTGGTGATATAATAAACGTCACGAAACGGCTAAGAGGATTCGGAAATAATATTAAATTTATATAACGTTTCGTTTTACAACTGGGACCCTTTATGTAAATCCTCAATAGAGAATTCCATACTGCAAACAAAATAATCTCCAGTTCTCAGGCTTAATTAGTGCTTTCAATTAAGGTTGAATATTTGTATAGATAGCTCCTGGTGTAAAGTCTCATGGTTGTTTTCCTACTGTTTTCCTAATTGTCATTAATATAACATATATATAGCAGAAAGTAAGTTTCAATGGCACTAATATAATAAAATATATAAAATAGTGTTACGTCTCTGTTCGTTAGTTAATTTTCCGTAAAAATTCTTTCCGATGAAACTTTAGCGACACAAGTCCTTTATTAAATAAAACTGGTTTATTCTTTCTGAATACAACTTTGCAATACACTTAATTTCCCCAGTCACGCTATAATTCACAACGAACGTCTCACGTGCTCGACTCAACAATACGTCTCTCTCTGTCCGCAGTTCAACTACACTACCATGTTGCCGTCAGTTCTTGGCAGCTTATATATACAAGACTACCGCATATCTAGTAGCCTCTCGAGAGTTCAGGAAGGGACAGGATCCTTCTAGAAGTTCATGACGTGTTACTAGTGTCACGTGACCTCCGCTGTCGTAACAATATAGTATACATCAAATCGAGCGCACATTCATGTAGAAATTAGTGAGCATCGCGTGTACATTAGTTTAAAGGAGTGATTGTGTGTAATTGTACACTGACATCTGACAAAGAGTTATAAGTATTTTCGATACAGCACGTTCCAGAAATAATGTATAAGGAATGAATTGAACATGCACAGCAAAGGAAAACGCGTAAGTTCAAGCGAATAAATAAAACACCGCTATTACCAACAACATTTTATATTTTACTAAATGGCTGGCTTCTTATTTGTTATGACTTCTCACTGTCTGCTGGGAGTAAGAGAGACTTTCTAAATACATCAGCACAGAACAAGGACAGAGACAAAACATGTTACACCACACCTTCAAGCTAAACAAAGGTCAAGTGCGGTATCTTACAATCCTTAGATTGCCTACGTCAACGATTATCCCGAATGACATATACAAGGTCAAAAAAACCCTAAAATTATAGCAATTTGAAGAAATATCTGTGCCACCCCTTGAGATAGGATTACCTGTCCCAGGGAATGGATACAGGCATAGGGTGAAATTGTTACGTGGTACAGGCTTCTATGGGATAGCCGTTGTTGTACATAACCTTTACCTAAGCTAAATAACTAGTACACGTTTACGACTTTCGACACCCGATTTACAAGGATGTCATAAACTATGTGAATAACACTTGCATTGAAATTTGGTAAAAAATTGTTTTGAAGTAAGCTTTATCTACAGTTTTAATTGTTTTTCATTGGAAATATTCTTATGAAACTATTAGACTTATATTTATTCTATTTATTTAAACCTCTGACATTCTGAATACAGCAATTTTGATTTTCATATTTCCAAATAATCTAGAGACTTCTGGTTCAAAAAATATATTTATATATTTTTTAAAAATCTATACATAGTACTTACAATTAAAAGTTGGTTAAATATATATTTTATAATCTGTAATGAGTAATAGCTAAAACGATATTAAAATCAGAATTACTTACCATAATCCTGTTAACATGGAAATAAAATAAACCCTAGCGTTTTCGACAGGTGGGCTTATTTATGTACTAGCTGAAGTACTGCGAATAATCGAACCCTGGAATTTAGCGTTGTGAGTCCATAAACGTACGGTTGCCCCATTAAAATGCTTTAATTCGTTTTGGAACTGCATTTTTTGTTGTTGATCATCACGTTCCCTTAAATATATATATATTCAGTTTCAACCTGATTGATATTTATCAACTAATGTTGTGAAGACGTGATGCGATTGTAGCGATACACTGTATGGTACGATACGATTTATGTATCTTCACTAAATTTGGCAAGCTTTCAATATGTTTGTTTGTTTTTAATTTTCGCGCAAAGCTACACGAGGGCTAT